TTTAATTTTAAATATGATAAACATTAACAGATATAATGTTAAAACCACTTAAAGTTCTTCAGAGTTTTCAGTAATATTTTTTTTATTATTTTATTATTTTTGTGTGAGTGTACCGTCAAATCAGATCTGACTGGTACAGGAGGAGATTGTCCCTCCTTCCCCGGCAGAGCATCTGGTAGATTTGAACCGTGGGCCTCTGGGATTGTATTTGCAGCTCCTTACCACTAGGCCACCGGAGCTCCCCAAGTTTTCAGTAATATTAAAGAGTACGAAGAAGTCACAAGGCCACAAGGTTTAAGAACTGCTGTGGTTTACACACTCTAAAACAACCCAGAAAGTTTAGTAATCTGTCTTGGAAAAAGCCTGAATGTCTCTTAGAAGCAAGGTTGCTAAGATTTTTTGTCATGTACTTTGGACATGTTATCAGAAAGGACCAGGTCCTTGGGAAAGATATCATGTGTGGTAAAGAGGAAGGTCAGTAAAAAAAGATGACCTTTAATAAGAGAGAATGATACAACAAAGCAATGGGCTCCAAAAAAGGCAATGATTGTGCAGATGGCAGAAGAGTGGGCTGTATTTCATTGAGTCACTATTATTAAGTACCTACCAGTAATTATCAACTAAATTAATTAATTATATTCCTAACCAGCAAAACATGCTCCAAAAGGATTTTTAGATGACTCCTATCCCCTTAACTCATGTCTCTGTCACATTTATCTCATTCTCCCTTTGCTGAACTACTTAGCTAGCCTTTGTGAAAAGCCTGTAAACACAAAATTTTGGTACTACACATTAGAGTACAAGAAAAGAGCTTTATTAGTAGATTACAAGGAATTCTTTTTTGGTGAAAAATATATTTTAAAGGCTACTGTTTTTGTTATTAGAAGCCACTGAGTCTACAACAACTCCTAGAGACCTCATAAAAATGAAGAACCCCTAGATGGCAGTTACCAACCTCAAAAAAATTACATACATAAAATCATTATGCATACATATTTATCATTACAATTACAGAAGAAGTCTTTTGTCTATCAATTGTCTTCTCTAGGGACAACTATTTTTTGTTAACCCCACTCCCAACAGAAGAGGGTGTTGGGGTATATCTATAAATATGTAGAAGGACGAGACAGGAAGAGAAAAAGGAAAGAAGTAACATGATATGGTAAAACAGATGTTGGGTGAAAAAGAGTTCACCAGACCCATACTTTGTGAATATGTTGGAAAAAAGGCATACATCTAGCCCTAAATTAGAAATTAGTTAAGTATCAATTTTATGTACATTTGGTTCAACAATTACAAAAGAAATGAAAACTTACATGAAGTAAAACGAAAAACAAAATAAACAAGGAATTAAGCAGTAGCAAGACAAATTTAGGAAACTGACACAATAGCAATGCCATGAAAATAATCTTAAAGATTATTTTGAATACTAAATATTGCCTTTCCATTCAAATAATGTAGAGGGGAAAAAGTTTCTAAACAATATACTAAGAGAGATCTTTTTAGAATAAAGACTAAGAAAAAAATCCCCAGATGATCCTTAATAAAAAAGGCAAAGAGAATGTTTCCTATGTAGGAAAAAAAGAAATTCAACTACTATCAATGTCCAAAAAAATGTTTTTATATCTGAAATCTAACGTGCATGCACACCCATACACATACATATGTACATAGGCATAGAAGTAATTGGCATGACATTAGCTTAGTTTCATTACAAACTATTACTTTAAGAAACTAAATCCAGTATGTTCATGTTAATTTTTTCTGGGATACTTGCTATATAAATAGGCCTAAATAATATACTGGGGAAATATTCTAGTTTTTATCCTACAAAAATCTAACCATCACCTCAAATCAAGTACTAGCAAAACTCTGGGAAGCTACCAAAGAAGGACATAATGCTTTTATAAAAAATGTACTATGTTTAGTAGAAGAAGGATAAACAAGGAAAACACAAAAAAGTAAGCAGTAGTGTTTATATATTTACTGTGAGTTGTACAAACCTTTGTAACAAATGCCTCAGGTTTCTAAAGCACTTGGGAATAATTGGAACTAAGGCAGGCAAATCAGAAAGAAAAAAAAAAGAAAGAAAAACAAACTATGATATTACCGTATTACTGCAATTACTAGCCCTTACAAATAAACCAAAAATATTAATTCATAGTAGAAGACTAAATAATTTGAATACTTATGACCATAACAGTAACAGAACATCTCAAAACAACAATTTATCAAACATACATTTGTAAAAAGACTAGAAGTGAGGACGAGTTGATGTATGAACTAGAGATGTGATAAAGTAATAGATCAAAGAGGGAAAAATTAAAGGGAAAGAAAAAAATAGAGCAAGGGAAAAGCACAGAAGAAAAGAAAAAGAAGAGTACCATTTGCAAATTTCTTCGTTTCTCAAAAATCCTGAGTTAAACCCAGAGCTGAACATTTTCAATGTTAAACACGGAATCATTTTATTAAAGTTATTATGGATTCTGTTTTTATCCCCTTGCAAGAAGACCATTTCAATTATATGACTTCAGTGTCCAGCATCAAATCTACTACTGTTGTTTGGAAAAGCACTGTAGCCTATACAGTCAGGGCTTTAATTATTAAATGCCTTTCTCTACTGTTAGCATTCTCTGTCTTTTCTTCTTTTCAGCAAATTACTTGAATTGACCTTTCTAGTTCATTTCTCTATTAATGCCATCTTTGTATTACTGCTCCAGAACTCTTGCCATCAAAGATATACTACAAGAAAAATATGCTTTGTATAATTTAGGTGTGTGTAGACAACTAACAAGCATTCATTTGTGGAAAAGTAATGTGTTACCAAAAAAAGTGTCAGAGTTACAAATAATTCAAAAAAATCTGAAGAAAAATCAGTTGCTTCAATGGCAAAATCCATGATGTTTACAAGAGGTAAGCTTATTATTCAGAATATCCAAGTTTAATCTTGGAATGACACAAAAATTCAATCACTTTATAAGAATTGAAACTATTTTTATCAATATTCTACAATGACTCATAGCTCTTTTTGAAAACACAAGTATTTACAGATATTAAATTCTTATTACTCTATGCTGCAGGCAGGCACTTCCTACCTACTTTTTGTATATTAAAAATACTGTAATTTCCAGCTGTCTTGGAAAACTACTTAAGAAAATGATGACGAAACAGTAATTTTTTTATTTTTCACATTTCATCATATACAGCTAAATATAAAAATCAATCTTCTATATTAAGATTATACAACTAAAATATTCAAAATTAGTTTGAATAAAGAAAGGAACTTCTATTCTTACCATCTGGTCCATGTATGATGCAAAGCACCAAAAGGCATCCACTTCATTTTCCATCACATATAAAAGAGGGGAAAGTAAGTCACTCATTCCTTGCACATATCCTAAGAAAAGAAAATAATGTGTATGGAAAACCCCAAGCTTTAAGTATTTTTCATGTATCTCAAAACCATATGACCTACATCTTTTTTGCTTTGGGAAACTGACTGCTATTAAGGGGGCTGAAGTTGTCTAGCAACCAGGTGAAAAAAGACTAGTTTTTATAGTTGTTACAGATAAAAATGTCAAGCATTAGAGATGGAAATATATTTATCAGAGTACATACCACAATGAGTAGTAATATTTCAAACAAAACAAAACATCAAGGGTGCTAAGGACAGAATCAAAGGAATACCGTTTATTATGAGTCATATCATCAGTTCTGATTGTACATTCATATGTACAACAGAACAAAACCCTGCCCAATACTGTCATCCTCACAGGTTCTTTAATCCTGTAACTGTTGCAGACAGTAAGACAACCTAGCTCTTTGAAAGTCTTCCTTTCCTCTACTTTTCCATGTATGATGTCATTCTCCCAGAACTGTCCCCTTCTCATAAGAAGCACAAAAAAAAGTGAGTGTGTTTTCACCATCCATGGCTCAAAGAAGCACCCTGGATGCACATCCTCCTAGACAGGTCTCTCTGTTCTTTTGGAAGTTTCTCCCAGCACCACATTTCAGAACCTTGATTCTTTGGTCTTCTTTACTTATTTGTCTAATTTTCACAGGCATATAAAACCTGAAAATGTCAATGGTAGAGTCAGGCTTACTATCTTTCTTTTCATGCTGTTATAATTTCTCAACTGTGACACAAGAGTATGAGATTTTTTTAACAAAAAAAGTAAATTAACAAATAAGTCTGCTCAGTTAAAAATGAAACTTGGGACTTGCTTTTCACCTAAACCTGATCTTTCAACTAAACTTGTCTGTTAACACCACTTTATATGATCCTGTTGTACAATGGGTTGTCAGAATAGATTTCCTAGCCCACTGCTTTTGATTTCAGTCATATGGGTATGTACACGGATACACTACTAAAGAGGAGATTGGTCAGTTTTATCATCCCACCAGCCCTAAGATGTGAAGGGTGAGAATCAGAAGATGAGAATCCTACTACCAACAGAAAAAAAAAATAAGAGAATATAAATACTAAATGTCCTTCAGGGCCAGAGCTATCTGCTCTAGTAAGACATGAACCAAGAAGATAGCAGCAACAACATCAGTAAAGAACCAGAGATGGACATGAGGCAGAGTTACCTTGGAACTGCAATCTACACAGGCTCCTGGAAGCCAAAAAGTTTCACTTTCATTTGCTAGAAAACATGGAAGAGTGCAGTAGCATAACTGGTAGGACAAAGAGAGTTTTGTAACATGGATCTAAAGTTGCGAAACTGAAGATCAAAGGATTTGTGAGGACACTTTAAAAAATTATCCTGAGTAAGAAACCACAGCTGAAGTCCCTAGGGTTTGAAAATAATGCCAAGACCTCTTTGAGAAAATGAGTTGTCAAAATATTGACTCAGTCTAACACCACACACCCACAATGGAATCTGCTGCTGGTGGAGCATGCCGGGAGACACTGGACTTTCAGTGAGGTACTTTGTGAGGGGTCACTGTTGTTTCGCTAGAAGATGTGGGACCCCTTAAGCTCAATAAGAAGACAGCAAGAGAGCTGGAGCTCATTCTCCAAGAGAAAACCAGGGCTTCCTGGTTTTCCAATCAGGTCTCTGCACTCCACCCTGCATCTTCTCACATCCAGTTACCTGCCTTTACCCTGGGGCACCATGGGCTGGCCTAGCTGTGGTAGCTGTCAGACAAAGGAGGCTATTTTCACAGGCCATTTCTCTACTGAACTGAAGTAGAATCTCCGTTGGGTCAAAAGGGAGTGAGAAACCCACAAAGGGTAGCTGTTCCACTCTCTTCTGGAGCAGTGACTTCAAATCAAGAACCTGCTATTGCCTCAGGCACGAAAAACTCTATTACAGCAATGTCACCTAGGAAGCAGGCTACCTCAACCCCTACACAAGTCCAAAGCAAAATGTCACCCAAAAAAAGTGACACATTATCAATGGATTTCCTGAAGCCAGAAAGTCTGATGAAACTTTCTGACACAGAATTTATAAGAACAATGATTAAATATTTTCAATGGGTGAAAGATGCACTTAAAGAATTATAAAACACTGCAAGCAAAAACCAAGACGAGCTTAAAAAAAAACCAATCCAAAACAATGCAGATAATATGAGGGGTTAGAGGCTCTGGAAAATTAAGAAACTGCAATTCAAAATATGAGGACCAATGTTTCAGAAACTTTCAACATGATGGAGGGACACATGAACAGGGCTGAAGAGATGGAACACAGAATGAGTGAAATAGAAGACAGATTTATCACCACTGAAACTGCTAGAACAAAAAGCAAAATAAAAAAGGAAGAGGAAAAAAGAAAACCTAAGAAGAATGTGGGACACCATCAAGAGAAATAACATGTGCATCATCAGAATCCCAGAACAGGAAGAAGTAACTAAAAGCATAAAAAAAAACTTATTAGGGGCTCGCTTTGGCAGCACATATACTAAAATTGGAACGATACAGAGAAGATTAGCATGGCCCCTGCGCAAGGATGACATGCAAATTCGTGAAGCGTTCCATATTTTCGACCCTGAAAATAACCAGTCTGTAACGAAGGCCAACTCCTTTCATCTACAATTGTCGTCTTTGGATACAAAGCTAAGTGGATTGTCCTTATGGAGGGACTGTTTAAAAAGAGGCAGGGAAAAGAAAATGGAAAAAAAACTTATTAGAAGAAAACTTTCCAGGCATAATGAAGAATAAGATAATATATATTTAAGAAGCTGAGGAAACACTATATAGAATAGACCCCACGGAAAGACACCAAGACATACATAGTTAAATTTGCCAGAAGCAAAGGTAAGAAGAAAATTCTGAAAGCAGTGATGGAGAAACAAAAAGTAACCTATAAGGGAGAGCAAATAAAGATTAAACGCCAATTTCTCAGAAAAAACAATGTGAGAAAGAAGACAATGGAACAATATGTACTGAACACTCAAAGAACACAACTAGCAATCAAGAATATTTTAGCTAGCAAAACTGTCCATCAAATATGAAGAAGAGATCAAGATATTTTCAGAAAACAGAATTTTAGGGAGTTTGTAAAAACAAGACCAGTGCTGCAGTAAACACTGAGAGACGTCCTTCTTACAGGAGTGTAACAGAAAGCAGGACGGTACAAATTTACTAGCAGCAACACCAAAAAGAACTCATTAAATGATAGCAACAAAACCTTGTTTCTCAATACACACACTGAATGTAAGTGATTTAAATGCACTGCTGAAGAGAAAAAGAGTAACAGATTGGATTAAAAAAAAAAACCCAAACAACAAAATCCAATAACATTCTGTCTACAAGAGACTCACTTGAAAAATGAAGATAAAAACAGACCAAAAACAAAATGGTGGAAAAAATATACCAAGCAAATGGCAACCAGAAAAAGCAGGAACAGAGGTATTAATCTCAGGTAAAATAGATTTCAATGCAGAAACAATCACAAAGGACAAGGAAGGTCACTACATAATACTTAAAAGGTCAATAGAACAAGAGGATATAACAATAATAAATATCTATGCACCAAATTAAAGATCTGCAAAGTATATAAAACAAACATTAATAAAACTAAAAAAGGAAATAGACAACACAACTATAGTAGTTGGTGACTTCAATATACCACTCTCAAGAAGACACAATTTCCAGAAAGAAACTCAACAAAGACACTGAAGAATTAAACTACACAATAAAACCAACTCAATTTCTTGGATATTTATAAGCTAATACAAAAAAAAGCAAAGTTGAGTCATCTGCATAACGCAGATTGTTGATAGATTGTCCACCAATCCTAACACCACGCTTCTCCTCATAGAGCCCAGCCTCTCGGATTATCTGCTCTGCATACAGGCTGAAAAGGTATGGAGATAGGACATATCCCTGGCGTACACCCTTCCCAATTTTGAACCATGTAGTGTTGCCCTGCTCTGTTCTGACGACTGCATCTTGGTCCAAGTATAGGTTTCACATTAGCACAATTAAATTTTCTGGTATTCCCATTCTTCTCAGAGTCAGCCACAGTTTGTTATGATCCACACAGTCAAATGCCTTTGCATCATCAATGAAACACAGATAGACATTCTTCTCGTACTATCTGCTTTCAGCTAAGATCCATCTAACATCAGCTACAATATCCCTAGTACCACGACCCCTTCTAAACCCAGCATGGACTTCTGGCAGTTCTCTGCTGATGTACTGTTCCAGTCGTTTTGGGATAATCTC